AGTCATCAAACTCACGGTAATGTTTCTCCATGAAAATCTGCTGAATCTGCTGGAAGTCGTCCTCTGAAAGAGAAGCAGTGGACATGTAGAAAGCGCGTCTTCATCACTAACTGGTGGCGCTGTCAGTGCACCTACCCATGATGATGTCCTCTATGCAGCCAATAACGCCATCGAAGGCCGTGTCTGCAGCCGAGGAACTGAAGGGAGAGAAGTGAGAGAAATCAGCACAAACTCCACGAGTTCCTGCTCTGTGGTGGATTTTACACAGCAAGAGAAAATCCCAAATGACTCTGAACTTTTGCACCCGTTAAACATGTTTGCTGAACAATCACTCCACCCTGGAAAAAGCCCTAAATTACCCTGATATTCATGCCCACGATGAGTGCATCTAATCTGACTTAAAACAGGACGTCAGCTTCCTGCAGACGGTTAGAAAGCATTTCACTACAACCCACCTGGAAACAGCAAAGTGCTCCTCGTCCGTATCGAACACGTTTACCATGTTGTCTCCACTACTCCGGATTTCTGAGAAAATAAAGCGAGCACACAGGTGAACACTGCCCTTCTGCGAACACCTGTAAGATAAAACAGGCAGGTAGCCAGCGCTAACGTTCACAACAAACGTAACATCAGCTTTGAAGTGTGTTTCCGTTAAGAATTTCAGACGTTTGCTCTGCTGCCTGGCGTCCCTTCGGCGGTGTAACCGTGTCTCTTCTCATTTTCTTTCGCTGCAGTTCTTTGGTGCTGCGGTCACCTTGGTGTACGCGGCCAGTGCTTTCTTCTCCTACTTGGACTGGAAGGGGGACGGAGGAAACGCCGCCACCAACACAGTGCCGACTTAGGGCTGTGCGGCCAGCGGTGCCCCTCCCAGGAACAACGCTCACAAAACTCAGATCCTGACTGAGGCGAACCCTGATAATAACCACGAGATGAAACCTGTTCCAGGTGGTTTATTGTTTTAGCCATCCCAGTAACACAGTAAATATACTGTATTAATACTACGAAATGTAATAATCCCAGATTGCATTAAAAATACACTTGAATTATTATGTACATAAAGTTATAAATTTCAGTAATAATTGAACAAAATCTGAAAATGTGAGTAGCATTAAAA